GCCTTATACCTGATCCTAAGGAGATACCACATTTCTGAGGATTGTGGGGTGGTCAAGTGGCTTGAAATCTGGGCCTAGGCGCTATACCTGATCTCCTCAGCTCAAGGCTAGCGCTCTAGTACATGAGCAACAGTGCCACTTCCAGTTTTCTAGTGGTTAATTGGAGATAGGATTCCAACGGACTTTCCGGCCCAGACTAGCTATGAACCATGAGCCTCAGATCTCAGGCTCTTGAGTAGGTAGGATTACAGGTGTGGGCCATCGGGGCCCAGTGAGAATCCACATTTTATTTTATGTTTCTATGTGTGTGTTGGAATAGACTGAGGCATAAAAACAGCTTATATCTCTCTTGCTATGGGAGGGAGATTGTTCCTATGCATAAAGATATTAAACAAGTTTAAAATGTCCAGAAACTCCATTCTCTCCATATCTTCACTTCCTCCATATACGGAATATAAAACACTCATTTTGCTTTTATCTTATCCCTTTCTAGAGTCATTACAGAGAATTGAGATTAGGACAAACAGGAAAAGCATGTCCTCATCCCTGCAGGTACCAGAAGATCTACGCAGAGGACAGCAGACTGATTGAGACTTGTTCTATTTGAATGAATCATATTCTCTAGTCTAAAACTAAGACACATGGGCACCATGGACCTATGATGGTTTCCTGCGATGAGCCAGCCTTGCAGCTATATCCATCTTTGCCCAGCCCTGCTGATTTGCATTTGCCTAGATCACATCCTACTGTCACAATGACTTCATAATAAGCTGTTCACACCTGTGCATCAGTCAGTCCCAGTCAATACACAGCATGGACATGAGGACCCCTGCTCAGCTCCTGGGACTCCTGCTGCTCTGCCTCCCAGGTAAGGAAGAATAATGCTTCTCTCTCCCTGTGTGGTCAGTGATGCCTGTGGCTTCAGGTAAGTCTTATAATAACATGACTAATAATGTGGATATTTGCTTTTATGTGTCCAATGCCAGGTGCCAGATGTGACATCCAGATGACCCAGTCTCCATCCTCCCTGTCTGCTTCTCCAGGAGACAGAGTCACCATCTCCTGCAGAGCCAGTCAGGGTATTAGCAATTATTTAGCCTGGTATCAGCAGAAACCAGGGAATGCTCCAAAGCTTCTGATTTCTTATGCAACTAGCTTGGCCTCTGGGGTTCCATCGAGGTTCAGTGGCAGTGGATCTGGGACAGATTATTCTCTCACCATCAGCAGCCTTCAGACTGAAGATTTTGCCACTTATTACTGTCAACAGCATATTAATTACCCACCCACAGTGATACAAGCCATGATAAAAAACCTCCCAGGAAAGCAGAAGTGAGATACTGCCTGCCCCAGCTGCTTCTCCTAGTTCCTCTACCTGTTGACAGTACTTCTCTGATGCAGCCAGATTCTAAAGGAAGAATTCTCTTCAATCTAGCATTCTGTTCTTCTTAGCTCCAGCAAAATACCCACGGCACTGTGTCTCTGATTTAATAGATGAAACTAATCGTTACATATGAGGAGTGCCCATAAATTATTTTGGACATTCCACTTCACTAAATTATAAAATAGCTTATTTTCAATCAGTTTCTTCATAGAAACTAAAACAACTGCTCAAATAAAAATGATCTTTTTGAGGTTTTCTGAATTTATATATTAAAGTATCTACAACCCAATTTATGCTAGCCACTGATCTTCTGAAAGGTAATGTCTTCTTTCCACTCCAAGCACATCTGTATATAGTGATATTTTGATTTCTTACTTCACAAATATCCAGCTTACAGGACGAACTATTTCTATAGACTGTTCTACAAACATTATAAATGTCTTAACCCCTGCCTCATTCAAGCCAGCCTAGATTAGAAGCTCCAATTCTATTGGCAAGTCTATCCTCTTCAACTTAATTTCCATTTGTTAGAAAAGGTATCTAACACTTTTGCTCAGAGAAAACATAAAAATTCAAGAGCAAGATGATCTCAAAGACAAGGAATAAATAAGAGAATATCATAAAAGTGAGCATTTAGTGTTTCAAGAAGCTCATGCAAGCTCCCAAGTATGTCCTCAGAACTATGAATGGAAAAGTTGGAATTAAGAGGCCTCAAAATTCTCAGTTCCATTTGTTTGTAATTAATACTCGTCTCTTCCAAAAAGAAGATAAAGATGAGGTCTGACATAATGACCTTCCATTGGAATCCTCACAGACCCAAAGACTAAGAGGGGGAAAGAACCTGGACCAGCACCACATCAGCAGTGTTGAACTTGGGTTCAGATTACTTCAGAAGCTGAGAGGACTAAACTGGTACCCTCTGCCTTCCCCCCACCCCCACCGCTTCATGGCTCAATCTAGCAGAATCAAAGGCAGGGATTCTTGTGAGGAAAAATCTCATTACAGTCCTCAATAACCTATGATGGGTTTTAGAATTTTTAAGGTGAAATTCATATAAGTGTAAAGCTTATGAAATGTGGTTTATTTTATGTCAATATTCTTTTAATCAATATGCTTTCAATGCAAATTCAGAAACAAAGCAGACAACAAAGCCATTTTAAAGTATACTGATTCTTACAATAACAGGATGTGTATGTTTAATACATTGAGTGACAAAGTGGAGACTATATTTATTTTGTCAAAGCTTCCTAACACCTATACAAGTGTTCTACCACATGAGCCCTTCCTCATTCATTTTTATTTTTCAGACAGGTAGCATGCTTGTACCTTAACTGGGCAGGCAATGGACTTTCACATTCAGATTTTGTATTCTCATAATGTGGAAGAAAGAGTGTGGATCTTATCACAAATATTCACTGAAAATTAAAATAAAGGATGAACTTGGGTTAGGAGGGGTTCATATTTTCCCTTTCCTCCATGATCATCAACCAGGCACCATTCTGAGCTCCAGAAATTGTAAATAGATATAAGTTGAGATCTAGACAGAACAATGACTTAAAAGAGAAATTTCTACTGCAGTACTAATTTCTTGATGAACTGTACAGTCAATAAATGTTTACAAATATCACTGGGATTGCAAAGAAACTCTAGAAGACTATTGAGAATGTATAAGGTCATTAAGATATTAGAAAAGAATCAGGTCTTGAGATAAGTTCTTCAAACACCCAGAGGCAAGGCTGGACAACAGTTAGACATACATTCACTGGATCTGAATCCGCAGGCCACATAGATTTCCCAGAGTTCTGATCCTTTCTTGAATACAGTACCTGCATCCTCCCTGGGAGGAGATCAGAACACAGTACCTGGTGCTGTGTCATCCTGTCCTTAGCCTTGTTTCAACCTGATTCAAAATTCCAATGGCTGAAAGTCATTGATCTGAAAATTAACAGACCTCATTTTCTGAGTTGCCAAATCTAGCAATCCCATTTAAATAATCAGAAGTTGCCATAGTGTCATCCTGAATGCCTACCTTACTCCAACTACTTCAGTTACTTCCCAAATATGTCTGTGGCTCCCTCACACACCTAGACTAACGCAGAAACAAAGAGATATTTAAAATGATTCACAATGCTACTCAACCTTCACAGCAGCTATCCTTTCTCTCCTTTGCTACATTAGGGTACAAGTTCTGATCTGCAGGTATAGAAAGTAGAGGTGAGCCCCTCTCATCTCCGGGCAGTAAAAGAAATTTGGGCACATGTGATAAGAAACAGATGTAAGAGGACTAAGGACTTAATGGGATGGAGTTTGCAAGTGATTTACCTTGAATCTGATCTGGAATAATAAACTGGTACTTGAAGTATGGATGTCCTACAGCCATTTTGAGAACATGAGACATTAACACAGTATGGCATTTGAGAAAATAAGACATTAAAAATCCATAACTAAGCTGAGCACTGGTAGTTTATACCAGTAATCCTACTACTCGCCAGTCTGGGATATGAGGATCACCATTTGAAGCCAGCTGAGAGAAGGAAGTTGATGAAACACTTATTTCCAATTAACTACCTGAAAAACAGAAGTGCAGCTCTAGTTCAGAGTCGTAGAGCACTTAAGCCTTGAGCAGAAAAGCTCAGGGACAAGGCCCAGGCCCTCAGTTCAAACCCCACCGAGAAAAAAAAAGTACATGGTCATTGTGACAAGTCACACATAATGAAGTAACTTTGGTCTTTTCTGGTGGCAACAAGCTTTGGCTCTAGCCCTCGAGATATCAAACCTCAGGACATGGCATACTTGTACCAGTACTATATTTGCTTTCAATAATTTTCTATCTTATGAAGTAAAGTAACAAAAATAAGGAAGAACTTGACTCAGTCATATATCTACTAAAGGAGAAGCCTTTTTTTATTGTAGGGCTAGAACTCTTGGTCTGGGTGATGTCCTTCATCTTTTCAGCTCAAGGCTAGCACACTATCACATGAGCCACAGCACCACTTCTGGGTTTTTTTGGTGGTTTATTGGAGATGACTCTCACAGACTTTCCTGTCTGGACTGGCTTTGAACTATGATCCTCAGATCTTAGCCTCTTGAGCAGCAGGATTATAGGTGTTAGCCTGTGATCATATTTTATCTTGTGTTCATATGTGCATTTTGGAATAGACTGAAGCATGAGTTCCTGGAAAATATAGCAGCTTATGTTTTCTACCCTGTCAATCACATGTTGAGATGTATAGAGAAATTAGAATAGTATTTTGTCTTATGTTCACAGGTATTTTGATATCCTGAGCATGAAACACTCATTTTTCTCCTTAATCCTCTCTTTCATGTTGTTACATAGAATTGAAATTAAGACACTCAAGTAAACCAAGTCCTCACCCTGAAGGCACCAATAGATATCTTCATAGGACAGAGGATTGATCATGACTTGTGATGTGTAGGTAAATCACATTCTCTGTTCTAAACTAAGATACTTGGGCACCATAGACTTGTGATGATTTCCTGAGATGAGCTAGTCTTGCAGCTGTTTCCATCATTTTGCATATGCCAAAATCACAGCCCACTGTCACAATGACTTCATATAGGCTATTCATACCCTGTTGAGCAGTCAGTCCCATTCAGCACACAGCATGGACATGAGGGCTCCTGCTCAGCTCCTGGGGCTCCTCCTGCTCTGGCTTCCAGGTAAGGAAGGATAACATTTCTCTATCCATTATTGCATGTGCTGACTAGGCTTCAGGGTAGTCCTGTAGTAACATGAATAACTTTGTTTATTTGCTTTTATGTGTCAAATGCAAGGTGCCAGATGTGACATCCAGATGACCTAGTTTCCATCCTCCCTGTTTGCATCTCCAGGAGACACTGTCACCATCTCCTGCAAAGCTAGTCAGAGTATTGGAAATTATTTAAACTAGTATCAGCAGAAACCAGGGAAAGCTCCAAAGCCTCTGATCTATTACACTTCAAGTTTGGCCTCTGTAGTCCCATCCAGGTTCAGTGGCAGTGGATCTGGGACAGATTATTCACTCACCATCAGCAGTCTTCAACCTGAAGATTTTCCCACTTATTACTGTCAGAAGTATGATAGTAGACCACCCACAGTGATACAACCCATAACATAAACCTCCAAGGGAAGCAGAAGTGAGAGGCTGGGCTGCCCCAGCTGCACTTTCTGGTGCCTCTACCTGTTGACAGTGCTTCTCACATGCAGCCTAGCTCTGACAACTATTGCAAGCTTTTCATTAAACTTTCTGCAACGAGTCCTCTGTATCTCTGTCTCGTTTCTCCTCTTCTGTCCCGTAAGCACAGACATGGCCATGTCTCTTCTCAGATAAGGGCATCCTTTGTGATTCATATAGTAAAACACAATCTAGCCAAAATTCTCCAAGCAGGACTTGTTTTAATACAGGAAATGAGTCTAATCATTAGCTTCTGAACTCCTAGATAAATAGAGAAGTTGGAACTAGGAGTGCGGAAATCTTTTGTGAAGCTCTCCTAGGGTTTTGGGTACCTAAACCTGGGATTCTACAGACTGTGGAAAAAGCCAGTGTGAGCTGCTGATGCTCTCACCTGACCCACCAACAACTCTGGGGGATTCTCCAGGTCTCAACTCTGAAGATGTCACCTTTTTATGTCAAGAAATGAACAAACCCCTAATGTTGCAACTCTGCAAGAAATCAGAGAAGGAACAGGGATTTTCACTTCAACAACTAAGGTATTGATCATAATGATGGTTTGAGATAGCTCACATCCCAGGATCCTCACTATTTCCCACATTCTCAGAAATATTCCCACTAAACGATGGCATTAGAATTCACTTAAATTTGATTCTAAGTTTTGTCTATCAGCTGAAATCATAAAAAATAATAAAATAAAACTTCATTAAGTCTTAGAAGAAAGTATAAAAGCTGACAATCATATGAAGCATCACAAGTTGTTCAAGAACTTACAAAGGAACAAATAATTGAAAGATCTTCCTGAATAAAACAAGCGAGATGTAAAACAATACAACATATAAAAATAGAAAATAAATTACTTGCTTTAAGATTTGATTTCCTGCTGTGCATAGGTGACTCATACATGCAATCCTATATAATCAGGAGGTTGAGATTTGAAGATCAAGGTTTAAAGCCAGCCTGAGCAGGAAAAGCTATGAGACTCTTATCTACAACTAACTAACAAAAATCCAAAAGTTGAGATGAGGTCAAAGGCACAGAGAGCTAGCTTTGAGCAAAACTGAAGATCAGAGACACCATCCAGGGTATATGTGAAGATAGATAAATAAGGATTTCTGGTAAGATGGTGGAGAAGCTGGAGGCTAAATAAGTTCTTGCATAAAAAGCAGTTTTAGTGTTCCAGTGAACAATCCTAAGACAGAATCACACCAAGTGTGCCATCACAGTACAGAGAGTTAGTCCAGAGAGGGAAAATCCAGGCATGGAGACAGATCTGAGCACTTACCAGCAGCTGCCACGGAGGAGGCAGCAGTGGTGGCGGCGTTGTCCATAGCCACCATACGTGCAACAGAGTCCGGGATGAAGGAGCCAGATGGGACAGGCCAGCGGATTCTACTTAACACCAGCAAGAAACAACAAGGAGCAGACATCTTCATCCTGCAGTTTGCAGACCAGAGATGACTCAGGAACCAAGATTCAACGTGAGTAGAAGCCAGACTTCCTCATTCCTTCTCAGGGAGCAGAGGAGGGAAGGCCACCCCTCCCCCCATGCACTACAAGAGATCTCCATTTTTGAAGTCCCGGCTGAGCTATTAGCTCCAACTCAGGCCTTGGAAGAAAACTAGAGTCATTTAGCAGGTCACAAGAACCAAACTGACCTTCCAGACTCAGCTCCACCCAGGGAAAAGTCACCCAGCTCTGGCCACCAGCCACAGGAGTGGCTTTCTTCACTGGATTAACAGAGCCAGAGGATGCTCCTCCCTTTAGCAGCCTTGACAATCAATTAAAATTCAGTAAACAGACACCCTGAGAATGTCTCCAGGCTGGGCTCTGTGAGTCTCTCACAATCTAGCCCAGGGAAAAGCTACTGTTTGCTGAAAGGCCTCAACTCTACCCAGAACCTAGCCTCATCACAGCATCTCCAAACTTCAGGAAGCAACCATCTCCCTCTTTGGAGATACTCAAAGAAGATCTCCCTCCCATTGAACTAGCCTGGGAGGAAGATCACAAAATCCTGGGTAAAGCAGAGCATATTTCTACCTGCTCAAACAAACTGACTTAAGAAACCAACCAAGACGAAAGAAAATCAAACACCACAAGCCGACCAGAGACTCCAACAAGAGACTGGTTACAGACACAAGGGAGATACAGGATCTTCCCATCCCTCCTAAAAAAATCAAAGAAATTTTTTTTGTACCTTTTATAAAAAAATATTTTTCTTTCTCTAAAACTTTTTTTAATTTTTAATTTTTACCTTTTTAAATTTTCTAGTAATTTTTTTTCTTTCTTCTTATAATTTTTATTTTAGAGTATATGTGTGTGTGTATTTTTTTCTTTTTACAATTTTTTTTATATATTTTTGTGTTTAGCTCTACTGAACTGCTGATCTTTTTTTTCTTACTTTCTCATTCTATTCACCTTTTCTTCTCTTTCATTCTTCTTTGTGTGACTTAATTGCAGTTCTGTACATCCTCAGATATACCCATAGTCGATTATTAGACCTTATCCCCAATTGTGTACACATTAATCCAGAAATTTTTACTCAATTCAAAACCTCTGAGACTTAAATTCCTTACTAGCAGTATTACCTCTTTATATCTATATAATATTTTAAGCATTTTTATTTTTTAGTTTTCCACGTATCATTTATATCCCTCCCCTTCACTTATTATATACATGAACTTCTCTGAATATTTCGTTTTCAATTCTGCATAATTTTTAACCATTGCACTTTTTAATTTTTAATTTTTGCTTTTCTATTTTTTTCTTGTCTCTTTTTTATGTCTTTCTCTTTCTTCTTTTTCTCTCTCTCTACTTTCAACCTATACAACCAATTTCTTGCTTTGAGATTAGGACTTAGTTAACTCTCCCTGAGCCTTCCAACATCTCTCTATTCCTACTTTTACCCACATCTCTCCCTAAACCTAATAATTTCTGGTTTGCCAAATTCTTCTTTGTGGTTTGTAGCCCATTAATATAGAGTTGTTTGATGTTGAATAGAAGTATCTGTTGAGCTGTCAAGGAGAAAAGATTAATCACCTCTAAAGGGAAACCAATTAGAATCACCTCAGATTTCTCAGCAGAGACAATCAAAGCAAGAAGAGCCTGGAATGATGTATGCCATGTCCTAAAGACAAATAACTATCAACCAAAAATACTGTACCCAGGTAACCTCTCCTTCATAACTGAAGGCCAAATAAAAACCTGCTATAGCAAAGAAAAAATGAAACAATATATCTCCACCAAATCAGCCCTACAAAAGATTCTTAAAGATGTCCTATACATAGAAAACCAACAAGACCACAATAAATGACAAGAAACTGTACCCAAATCGAGAATCCAAGAACCATAGCAAGAACCCAGTTTTCACAGCCCCCAAGAAGGTGGATTAAACGGCAGGAATTCCCAAATACCTCTCAGTCCTATCTCTTAGACACTTCTCTGAAGAGGAAAGAAGGATGGCCAATAGACACATGAGGAAATGCTCAACCTCCTTTGCCATAAAAGAAATGCAAATCAAAACAACATTGAGATATCACCTCACTCAAGTTAGAATGGCTAAAATCAAGAACTCTAAAAACAACAGATGCTGGAAGGGATGTGGACAGAAGGGAACCTTACTTCATTGTTGGTGGGAGTGTAAACTTGTTCAACCACTTTGGAAAGTAGTATGGAGGTTCCTCAAAAGACTCCACATAGAGCTCTCCTATGACCCAGCAATCCCACTTTTGGGCATTTACCCAAAAAGTTTACAAACAAGACCACACTAAAGCTACCAGCACGACAATGTTTATTGCAGCACTATTTACTATAGCTAAGATATGGAACCAACCCAGAGCCCCTCAGCAGATGAATGGATCAAGAAAATGTGGTATATATACACAATGGAATTTTATGCCTTCATCAGAAAGAATGACATTGCCCCATTTGTTAGGAAATGGAAAGGCTTGGAAAAAATTATATGAAGTGAAGTAAGCCAGGCACAAAGAAATATAGGTCCCCCTTATTTGCAATATCTAGTATATGTCTGAGTCAAGTAGAAAAGTTCAGATAAGGTGATGTTAGGGAAATGAACCCTAAGATATGTATTCAAATGTTATTTTTTCTTACATGCAATTATTTCTAATGCATTTATAAGATTATTTCTTTGTTGCTTTGTATGTCCCTCCCTCACAGTATAACCCCTGCTTTCACTGTATTTGATTTTGGTATAATTTTTCGAGGGGAAGGGGAAAAACAAATCATTTAAATAAGGATACAGGTGGATCCATTGCAACAATGAGACGTACAAGTCGTATGTTGAAAGCCAACTTTACAACTTTGGTGGGGGGTCGGGGGAGTGGGGAGGATTGGGCAGGGGAGGTGGGGGAGCATGGGAAGGGATGGGAAGGGGAAACAAAGGAGGAAGCTACAATGCTTGATAAGAAATGGACTCATTTAATTGCCCATGTAATTGTAACCCCTCTGTACAGTATTCAAAAAAATATAATAAAATAGATAAATAAGATA